GTCCCCCTGCACCTCTCACTGCACCACTGCCCCACACCGCCGTCCCCCTGCACCTCTCACTGCACCACTGCCCCACACCGCCGTCCCCCTGCACCTCTCACTGCACCACTGCCCCACACCGCCGTCCCCCTGCACCTCTCACTGCACCACTGCCCCACACCGCCGTCCCCCTGCACCTCTCACTGCACCACTGCCCCACACCGCCGTCCCCCTGCACCTCTCACTGCACCACTGCCCCACACCGCCGTCCCCCTGCACCTCTCACTGCACCACTGCCCCACACCGCCGTCCCCCTGCACCTCTCACTGCACCACTGCCCCACACCGCCGTCCCCCTGCACCTCTCACTGCACCACTGCCCCACACCGCCGTCCCCCTGCACCTCTCACTGCACCACTGCCCCACACCGCCGTCCCCCTGCACCTCTCACTGCACCACTGCCCCACACCGCCGTCCCCCTGCACCTCTCACTGCACCACTGCCCCACACCGCCGTCCCCCTGCACCTCTCACTGCACCACTGCCCCACACCGCCGTCCCCCTGCACCTCTCACTGCACCACTGCCCCACACCGCCGTCCCCCTGCACCTCTCACTGCACCACTGCCCCACACCGCCGTCCCCCTGCACCTCTCACTGCACCACTGCCCCACACCGCCGTCCCCCTGCACCTCTCACTGCCCCAGCCCCCCGTGCACTCCAGTCCCACACTGCCGTCCCCCCTGCATTACCACAGCTCTAACATACACATACCACATCCCCGTCTGATCCTCGCAGGACCACCGCCCCCCATTGCCACCCCACACCTGCTCTCCCAATGCTCCCCACACACATCAACCATCGAACCACCAGGCCCAGCCTCCCTCCCTGTCCCTGGAAGAGGGTCCTGGCGGGCCTTTTGCATCCCGTGCGTGCCACAGATGTGTGCGCAACACGTGTTTTTTCACACATCTCCAGGCATGTGTCCCAGCACACACACAGATGTCCACACAGGGATACGTGTATGCTCATGTCTGTGCGTGCACATTTGTGCACGTGCAAGTATCTTTGCACGTGGATGGCGCATTCTCCAACTCCACTCCATCTTCCCCCCATCCCAACAACCCCCATTTGTATCCTCAGCTCTCCTTCCCGTGCTCCCCATCCGGCCCCGGGTCTCTTGCACATTCAGGAAGGCCACCCCCTGGTGGAAGCTGCACCCCACTGCAGCACCCCGTGCCCTGGGGCACCATTCTACACAGGCCTGCCCCCATCGTCCTGCCCCCATCGCTCACAGGTCCCAGGAGGAATTGTACAGTGGCCTGAGTGTTCTGTCCAGATGAACAAACGCTGTAGCGGGTGCCGGGGACTTCACCGCGATCACCCTGCCCGGCTCCGGGCCCCAGGGGCCCCGCACACCCGTGTCTCCGATCGTCAGGCTCTGTGTTTGGTCTGCCATTAAAGTACTCTAGTTCCGAGCCCGCCCTTGGAGGAGTTTTCTCTAGTGCATAGAGAGTGCACAGGGCTCCCCCTCCCCATGCCTGACCTGCAGCCACCTCTGGGGTGGGGCCCGGCCGCGGGCTAACAGCCGCCTCGCAGTGCTGCCCAGGAGTTCCGGCCTGGAAGCAGAGGAGAATTTCCAGAGCTGGGATCTGGAGGGGGCGCCGGGTCCCAGCCCCGCCCCTTGGAACCAGCTGGAGCACAGGACCCAGGACGGCGCTAAGAGAGTCCCAGACCAGGGCACCATTAGCCCCTTCCTTGCTGCAGGCCTGTTCTCCCCTCGCCCAGTGGCATGTGACCAAACCTCTGCTCCAGGATCCTGGCTCCTTCCCCCTGCAAATGCTCATGGCCCCTCAATACCGCCCACCCCGAGAGGCAGCTACTTTAATGCCTCCCCTGCCAGCTCCAGCCAGGGGCTCTCCTGGCTTCTCTGTGTGCAGGGTGGGGATCCCCAGGGAACCAGGGTGCCCTACCTGCACCTCCCTGGCTGCTGAGGTATCCTCACCAAGGAGCAACACATGCGCTGGGAAGGGCACTGCTGCGGGGAAGCTCCCAGTGCTGGGTTCTCACCAGGGCACCGCGCTCAGGGCAATCACAGCTGTAGGAAATCTGTTCCCATCCCCCTCTCACTCCAGCTTCTTGGCTTGGCCAGTTAGTTCTAGTTAACCACAGCCGTCCGTGCAAGGGTGCGAGCGTGGCTCTGCACGTGGGCTGGTGGTGGTGCATCCCCGTGCAGGGCTCGCTCGCCCAGGTTGGGGAGTGGCAGCTGCCTTGCACGGGCATGGGCGTGTGTTTCACCAGGATGTTCTACACAAAATCCCCTCCACACCTCCCTTGATCCCCCCCCCCCCCCTCCTTTAAGGA